ACTGTTACCTGATCAAAACAGATCAGTAATATTTACTTCAGTCCACTGTTACCTGATCAAACAGGTCAGTAATATTTACTTCAATCCACTGTACAGTTATTGGAGTAACACTGTAGACGTTTAATCTTCAACTGGAATTTGTAGTTCAAGAATGTAATATTTTCATTGATGGTGTCATGGCGATTAAAGCACAGCACTAGAGATGAGAGGACAGAACAGACTGTCGTTCGGTTTATGATGCCGATTCACAGTAAGACAACTGTTGTCGTCAATATCAAGTTGGTGCGTGTTACCTTTAGGGGTGGGGCGTTCGTGAGCAACATGTTAACATGGCTAAGCCCGAAGTAATCGACTGAGCCCGTTCGTATCGTGGACAAAGCTGTGCATGGAATTCTTGTCTACCTGTTTTCTACATGCACACCCGTTCAGACAAGAAAACGTTGCTTTTTGTATACGAAAGGGCGAAAGTCTCGTGAGACTGATCAAACCACCTCACCGTGTGAATTAATTACCCTAACAGTTTCATATTTTGTCGCAAAATGGGATTTCAGAGGGGTGATTACACCTTCAGAATGTCGACGCCATATTGTAAACAAGTTTTTATCGAGGTCGGTTTCACTTGTCCCACGTTGGCCCCAACGTCTCTATGATACATGATACCAAACTAACACCACCGAAATCATCAAAGTAACTTTTAAAATTAGGACAGCTATACATTTTTACCTTTGAGTTAACCGCTTATAGTGCAGGGGCTTATGGAGCAAAAATGCTTTCCGTGGGAAGTGCATGTTACTGTTTGGAACCACTGATAATTGTAATCAGTATTGCGTATGGATTCAGAAAAAAACATGGTTCCATTTTTTCTGATGATTTTAAATGTCATTCTGGGTTAACTGAACATCGGTACCCATAATCGAGCTGCAACACCAATGTGAGAAAAACATATTTTTATAAACCTATCACAACATAGGCATGTAGTATGTCAAAATGTACCTTGTGATGGATGATATACAACTACCATTATATATCATGAATCTCAATAATATATGTATAATATATATATAATTGCTTCTGCCAAAACCGAAGGTTTGTTGCGGAGTGTATGCATTCAGTCCTGTTTTTGTGTCTATTTATGTGTTAGCATCTTTACTCAAAAGCTACTAGATGGATTTCAATGAAACTTACTGGATCTCTTGGGTATATCCCCAGGACAAATCAATTAGATGTTGAAGAAAGTACACTCTTCAAAAAAGGAACGCAAAAGCAAAATATCATTGAAAATATTGGTCTTATTCAATTATGTAAATCAGGAAAATATACGGTACAGCATTGAAGTTATGTAGAGCAATGCATTGGTATCTCGTGCACATTTCACAAGAATGACAGTCATCATAGTCATTACTGCTGTCCACGACGTGACGTAGACGTTACTACCTTGTATGACCACCTCTTACTGCTAGAACTGCACGACACCTCCTTGACACAGATTGAATGAGTTGTTGGATGTACCGCTGTGTGCATTGACATATGCGTACAAACTCTCGATCATTATTTTTTGAAGAGTGTATGTTAAAGTGCATGGACACAGAGGTACTTTGAAAATAATCGCAATGTTAAAGAAATAGAGAATATGAATAATATCTAAAAAAGTTATTGATGGATTTGAATCAATCTTGGTGGTTGTGTTAGGTATGACACAGGAGCTATCTGCGTACGGTTTGGTGAAAGTACATTAAAGTACAAGTACACATTAGTACTTTATAAATGTAACAGTGAAAGGAGATTGCTGTGCAAGGCTGAGGCATGTTCTCTAACTAGGGCCGTTCTAGTTTTTAAATTAAGAAAAAATATGCGTAGAATTCATGCTTGTGTTTGTATGACAAATAATGTCGAAGCTTGTATTTCAACAGCATATTTTGTTCTTGCAGGTTAATGACGGATTGATTGACTGTGGAAGTTACTGAACAATGTGAACGTTAAAGTAAATATACTAGTGCACATTATATATTGCACTTGCATACCCCACTTGTAATATGTAGTTATCTGTTTACTGTGATATAATTTGTCACTCCTGTATTAATACATTCAGTTTATATTTGACTGCAGATTTGGCTTTATGTCATTTGTCATTTAATTACCCAGACACTGGTGTCAGTGTGTCAATTCTGACTGTACTGGTAGACCTGATTTGACACTTGTGCACGGCTATATGATATTCACATTAACCTTACCTTGGTACCATTATTACTACATAAGTGTGTCATAGTAGTATATATTATGAAATGAGAGAATACATTAATTGAATAAATGGTTTCCATTAATATAGGCCAATACTTAAAGATGAAGGAAAGACAATATTAGTAAGACAATAATTCATATGATTATGTCATATTTTATGTCACCAAACTGAAATTAGAAGCATATTATGCGGTTATCTCTATATCATGCATCACAAGCTGCCTTTTGTTATGCTACATGACTATGTTGTGATAGGTTTATGACAACATGTTTTCTCGAAATGGTGTCGCAAGCTATTTTGGGTACTCATATTCAATCACCCCACAATGACACTTATAACAAACAGAAAATATGGAACCATGTTTTTACATCTACAACTGCTCTGTAGATACAATAATATTTCTTTCTTACCTGTATCGCTGTTCTTGTATTAATACAACCTACTTAATACTATTTGTGACTTCAAATTCAAGTATAAAAAGGTTATTTCATTCCTCAAGAGGTGCTGTGGGGTAGCCTAGTGGTTAAAGCGTTTGCTCGTCACGCCAAAGACCCGGGTTTGATTCCCCACATGGGTACAATGTGTGAAGCCCATTCCTGGTGCCGTGATATTTCTGGAATATTGTCACGAGCGATTCGACTCTCCACACTGGTATAATGTGTGAAGCCCATTTCTGGTGTCCCCCGCTGTGATATTGCTGGAATATTGCTAAAAGCGGCGTAAAACCAAACTCTGGTCAGATACAGGTCAACTCATTGAAAACTTAAGCTGCATATGCTATGGAAATTAGCACTAACGTATCCTCATCTTAGATATTGCATCCAGTACTCTCTTAAGATAGCTTCCAGACCAATTACATCTCGAGAATGTTCCAAATATTAATGTGGCAGGCATGCTTTGATAATGACAGACATGTACTTTTACACTGTGAGTATTATATAAAAGAACGAAATGACTTCTTCTCCACCCTCATTGACAAACTGGATGTTGAAAGTCATGTTCAAATTGAACTCTTCGATGAAAATGAGATGCTTGCACTATTTGGGAGTTCGGCTCAAATACTACCTGGAATTGTAAGCCAGACCACTTGGGAAAGCGTATGACTATTATTCTGTAAATAAACTGAGGGAAAAAAATAAGGAATCACATGAAAGGACAAGTGTTCCTCTATTTTTTTTCGAGGTTTCTGGAAAAAAATAAGGGAACACTTGTGCTTTCATGTGATCCCTTATTTTTTTCCCTCAGTATATATACTTCATCTGAAAAAATCTTAGACCATCCTCGCTTTTCATCTGCTGTGCAGCAATAGCTGTCATTTGTGTACATATGTGATATCGTCTATTTACTTATACAGCCAGTGTCACTAGGACTCATATTTATATTCATGTACATATCAACATGTATTTGCTCTGAGTAACATCAAGCATATTGTAAATCTTCGGATGTAGATTCTGGAGGAAATTCATTCATTCATTCATTCATTCATTCATTCATTCTTTCATTCATTCGTAATTTGTGTGTTGGTACGAAGCGATGCTGGTATCACATGTCGCTCTAGTTACGAGTGATCGAATATATGTCGAAAAGATTTGCTGACGTTGATAACGATTATGATCTAAGTGACAATGTGTACTTATGTTATATATAGTTCATTAGCATTATCTATTAAGGAATTATAACATCATTTCCAAAATTATGTTCTGGTGTCCCCCGCCGTGATGTTGCTGGAATATTGCTAAAAGCGGCGTAAAACCAAACTCAGCCAGTCAGTCCAAAATTATGCGATGTGTCTTTAATGATTTGTGCACAATAGTTTGTATGCAATGTACATGCTTTTTAAACCGCGACTTCATCACAGTGCTGGGGCGGTGGGGTAGCCTAGTGGTTAAGGCGTTCGCCCGTCACGCCGAATGCCCGGGTTCCATTCCCCACATGGGTACAATGTGTGAAGCCCACTTCTGGTGTCCCCCGCCGTGATATTGCTGAAATATTGCTAAAAGTGACGTACAACTAAATTCACTCACTCACTCATCACAGTGCTGCACACAAAGCCAGCTGACGGCAAGACCCCATAAGTTATACGGATTAACCGTTAGCACGTTTATTTATTAACTGAAAATTAAGCTCCCGATGATTTTAAACAATTATCGTAATACTTTCCACACCTGTCTCAGCTTTATTCAATGATTTACTACAGTTTAAATCTCTTGTGACTTTTGTGTATCAATAATATTGATTACATAACAATTCGTCATCTTGCATTTTAAGAATGTTTCCGAAGCAAAGCGAATTGATTTTCATCATGAATTAGATTTCCTCTCTCTTACCAGTCGCAATGAATAAATAAATAAATAAATAAATAAATAAATAAATAAATAAATAAATAAATAAATAAATAAATAAATAAATAAATAAATAAATAAATAAATAAATAAATAAATAAATAAATAAATAAATATCCAGTCTAAACGGAATGGGTATTAGGTGACATTTGAAAGAGATTTAGTGATGAAATTGTTGACAATGATGACAATGATAATGATGAGGATGAGGATATCACTATTTCAGCATGATGAAATATCGAGTAACTGTCATCGAGGAGCTGTGATGATGATGATGATGATAATGATGATGATGATGAGGAGGAGGATATCACTATTTCAGCATTATGAAATATCGAGTAACTGTCATCAAGGAGCTGTTATGATGATGATGATGATGATGATGATGATGATGATGATGATGATGATGACTGTTTCAGCATGATGAAATATCGAGTAACTGTCATCAAGGAGCTGTGGTGGTGCCGGCGAGGAAACACCAACTGCGGGTACAGGGCGGCATTAGATCTCGATGGTAAGTATTTACAGCTCCCAAACACACTAGGGGCGGTGGGGTAGCCTAGTGGTTAAGGCGTTCGCTCGTCACGCTGAAGATTCGGGTTCGATTCCCCACATGGGTTCAATGTGTGAAGCCATTTCTGGTGTCCCCCGCCACGATATTGCCGGAATGTTGCTAAAAGCGGCGTAAAATTCTGCAAAAACCTCACAGAGGTGGTCTTACGTTTTGATTATGATCAGTGTTTCATTAGGTAGTTTATGTTTATTAGTTTTCGAGTCAGATTGCAATTCATCGGTCCGCTTTTGAGCTAAAACGGACTATAACCAAACATGTACGCCATTCTTGTTCATATGAACATTTCAAACGGAAAACAAACTCTGAAAGAAACACTTCAGCACAATCTACTTTTTGTCTTTCCCAAATGTATCCAAAACCATATTCATACAAAAGGGATCTTATTCCTGAAGTCCTGAAAACTTCCCAATAATGGTAGGGTGTCATCACTGATTTTCAGTTATTCATTCCCTTTATTTTCCCTTTACAGATACTTGTTTCTGAGGATAGTCAACAATGGATGTTCTTTTGCACCAACCTTCTATTTTCTATATTATTGATATACAAGAAAAGGGATGGTTCAATATTTTTTGATGCAAGTGTTGATAAAATATTTTGGGAGTATTTTGAAATATTAATCTGATGAACGACGAGTGTGCCGCAATGTTTACCCCAAACATCGTAATGTGTCGTTTCTGTAGCAGTAATGTGTCGTTTCTGTAGCAGATTGTAACTTTTAAACATAGGCATATTTTTGTTGAAGGGTTAAAGTTGACATCAGCAATGGTTGCAACATGTCATACATTATTTAAATTGAGTTGACTTTAGGACCCTCTGTTTGATGCAATGTGGTATAGGCCGAGATAAAATACATCGTCCTTTGTGCACGCCGTGTTTGAACCAGACTCCGATTGTAATCATTCTTGTTATGTCGCTTAGAAATGCAGGAAAGTAGCTGCAGGAACGTAATATGACCCAAGCGGAGAAAAAAAGTCCCCTGTGTCGTCGCTTCTCACACCTTCGTGTTGTAACTGACGTTTGCAAATATTCAGGGTTACTTGAAGTCGTATTGTTAACTTCCTGGGGACGTCAGCAACAGTGATACTGTGATAGTCAAACTCATGCTTTTGTCACATGTGTTTTCTCATAACCACCCCACGGAAACTCTATGTCATGTATGCCTCCAAGTTGGTGTCACAAATATGTTTACGTCTTCACGGTATTTTAATAATTTGTTATTTTGTCATTTTCTCGTTTTTCTCAGCAAAGGTGATAGTGAAATTCATGTATTTGTCACCTGTATTTTCTCGTAAACAACCCCACGGAAATTCATTGTCATTTATGCCTCCACTTTGCTGTCACAAATATGTTTTCATTTTCACGATATTTTAATATTCTTTTTTTGTTTAATTCTCTCGTTACTTCACAAATATGTTCGTATTTTCTATTATTTTCTCGTTATTTCAAGTATATTTTAAATATTCTTATGATCAGTTTGAGTTTCTCGTTGCTTCAATTACTTCCTCGTTACTTTGACAGAATTATCGAATTCTTTTAATATGTAAATGTATGTAAATTGAGTTGACTTTAAGACCCTCTGTTTGATGCAATGTGGTACAGGCCGAGAAAAATGCATCGTCCTTTGTGCACGCCGTGTTTGAACCAGACTCCGATTGTAATCATTCTTGTTATGTCGCTTAGAAATGCAGGAAAGTAGCTGCAGGAACGTAATATGACCCAGGCGGGGAACATAAAGTCCCCTGTGTCGTCGCTTCTCACACCTTCGTGTTGTAACTGACGTTTGCAAATATTCAGGGTTACTTGAAGTCGTGTTGTTAACTTTATGAGGACATCAGCAACAGTGATTGTCAAATTCATGCATTTGTCACCTGTGTTTTCTCATAACCACCCCACGGAAACTCTATGTCATGTATGCCTCCAAGTTGGTGTCACAAATATGTTTACGTCTTCACGGTATTTTAATCATTTGTTTTGGTTTCTCGTTGCTTCGATTACTTCCTCGTTACTTCGACAATATTCTCGAATTTTTTTAATATGTACCTGAACAAACGATAATAATTACTTGAAGTTGTGTTGTAACATTCATGTATTTGTCACCTGTATTTTCACGTAAACAACCCCATGGAAATTCTATGTCATTTATGCCTCCACTTTGCTGTCACAAATATGTTTTCATTTTCACGGTATTAACACAATGTTATTTTTCAATTTTCTCGTTACTTCACAAAAATATGTTCGTAATTTCTAATATTTTCTGGTTATTTCAAGTATATTTTAAATATTCAAAAATTCAGTTTTGGTTTCTCGTTGTTTCGATTATTTCCTCGTTACCACGCCAATATTCTGAAATTATTTTAATATGTACCTAAACAAACGATAAAATAATAACTTGTATGTGTTGTAAACTTCGTGCGGATGTCAGCAACAGTGATTCGGTGGGCGGAAAAAAAATCCCACCCGGGCAAAATGTATTTGTCACCTGTATTTTCTCATAACAACCCAACGGAAACGCTATGACACCCAGTGCCTCCACTTTGGTATCACAGATATGTTTTCATTTTCACGGTATTTTAATAATTTGTTAAGTTTTTATTTTCTCTCTTTTCGCAAATATTATATTCTCGTTATTTCAAGTTTATGTTAAAAAAATGTTACTTCCTAAGAAAATATCCTCGAATTTTCTACCATTTAATATGAACCTGCACAAATGATAAAATAACCGAGTCAACGGTAACAAAAATAGAAACTTTGAGATAAAATAAGACAGCAAGTATACAATAGACATAAATTAACAAGAAAATGGTCGAAATGACGAGAACACAAAGTAACGAGATAAAAACGTGACATTTCCAATTAATTTTCTCATTAAAAAACATTAAATTTATAAATCCAACAAAGTAATATTAGGATTTTGTAAGTAAGAGCTTAATATTATTAAGTGGGATGTTAGGTCAACCAAGTGCAATGCAGAAAAGGGTGTCCTAACTACAGAACATGGAGGATGATGGACGTGAGCTAAATTTCAGCTCACTTTGAGCTTCTTTACAGACGCACAGCAAGCTTAATTCAAAATTAACCATCGTGCTTTTAACCTTTTGACTTGCAATTTCAAAAGTTATCAAGTAACAGTAAAGTCAAGATATTTTATGGTTGACAACGCTTTATTCTCAAATGAGGCGAAATTTCGGTAGGCACTTTTGCTGTCAAGCACGAGTTGTTCCATTATGATCAACCGCCACTGTTGCTTAATAACGACCCAAGGATCTGTGCCGAAGCGTTGCATTAAAGTAGACAAAGGAAGATGACGTCCTTAAAATATATTGGCTTTATATTTTCGTTTTTACTGTGCCGAAACGTTGCATCAAAATAGACAAAGGGACGTCCTTAAAATATCTTGGCTTTATAATTTCGTTTTAGTCCTGCGAATATCAGTACTGTTTCACTGTGTCACTGAATTGGCTGGATAATCACTTCATTGTCTGGTCTGCTCGTTGGACGCCATCGTGTGGCAGGACTACTGCTGTGAATGACAGTTAGCAAGCAAATACTTTCTCTTTGATGCCAATTGTGGGTGTGTTTGGTTGTACGGATAGGGAAGACTTAGTCTAGCTTACACCTTCAGCGAATACATTACGTGACCCTTGAGGTTCAGCGATTACCTTCAGTGCGGGTTGTACGCCCAATGTATTCTATTGCGAAAGGTATTCTTCTATTTCATTTCGAGGTTTGGTTTGATTGTTATTTAACGCCGCACTCTGCAATATTCCAGCTACGGCTGTGGTCTGTGAATAATCGAGTCTGGACCAAACAGTCCAGTGATGAACAATCTACGCAATTGGGATACGATGACATGTGTCAACCAAGTCAGCGAGTCTGACCACCCGATCGCGTCAGTGGCCTCTAACGACAAGCATGGGTTGCTGAAGATCAATTCTAACCCGGATCTTCACGGGTCATTTCGAAGTGAACAGATGTTTATGTTTTGATATATTGGTCATCATTGTTAGATCAGGGGATGGTACATGTCTCATTTGGTCATCTCAATATGCAGTGAGCTTCATCATCTACTATGGGAAAGTTGCATAGATTATTAATATAGATTATTTACAGACCGCCGCCATATAGCTGAAGTATCGTTGAGAGCTAAGTACCTACTACAACATTAATGTTATATTGTATGGTCAGTCCCCAAGCATGACCATCAAAATGGTTGAATTTTGGTTCAAGCAGTTTCGTCTTCCCTATTACAGGCTTGAGAAGAGACATTGCTGACAAGAAGTCATGTTGCAACCGCTTCAGTTGGTAAGTTCTAGTGTTAGGAATTGGTTAAAATTTCATAATTGATGATTGGTTCATTACAACCGATCAATCATCGAAAATAATTGGTTAGCGCTTTTACCAGATAATCTGTAATTCTTCATAGGATGTATCTAAAGTTACTTATGGTATATTTTAATTTTCAGGTTTCATAACTTTGAAATATGTATTCTGGAAAGCATTGAAAATCTTGAGATCTGTCGAAATGGTTCGACAACTACCACGACTACAACATCAACTACCACGACCACACCAACAACATCATCTACTACGACTACAACATCAACTACCACAATTTCACCAACAACATCAGCTACCACAACTAGCACATCAACAACATCGACTACACCCACAACATCAGCTACAACAATTACAACATCGACTACACCGACAACATCAGCTACAACAACTGCAACATCAACTACCACCACTTCACCAACAACATCATCTACCACAACTACTACATCAACTACCACGACTTCACCAACAACATCAGCTACTACAACTACAACATCAGCACCAACATCAGCTACTACGACTACAACATCAACTACCACGACAACAACATCATCTACTACGACTTTAGCAACACTACCAAGTAAATTATTTTTGTCATGACATGTTTCATATGGCCGTAAGAGGCTACTGGTGGTATCTGGTATTCAGGCGTGTTCACTTGGTTGACGCATGACATATAGAGAGAGAGGGAGGGAGGGGGAGAGAGAGACAGAGAGAGAGAGAGAGAGAGAGAGAGCATTTGGATGTGTGAACTCGAAGATGTCATGGGAGCAGAGAAGCAACGAGTTCGAAGTACGAGTTGTTTCTCTGCTCCCATGACATCTTCGAGTTCAATACAAAACATCCAAATGCACTAGTATGACGTTCTATATTTATTATATACCCTCTTATCTTGCATGAATCTGTTACTTAATGTAACAAATCCGTAGAACCGGCAGGGGTTCAATACGGAATCTGGGGTGCAATACGGAATTGCACAACCCACACACCCCAGCCCACCCCGGATCCGCCAATGCCCTTTTTTGTTTTTAAGAATATATTATTGCTGCATTATCATTGTTATTATTATTATTATCCATAGTGTGTCGGTTGGCTGGAGGAACATGTCTGTTTCCCACCCCGGAAGCATGCAGCGCTCTTGCGGGACGGGTGGATTCCGGATTGTTCTGTCCCGGCTCTTCTCCTTGCTGTATACTTTAGGGAACAAAGGTACAGGCGTCTAACAACTCCATCATTTCTGAGGGGGGGGCGGTGGGTAGCCTAGTGGTTAGAGCGTTCGCTCGTCACGCCGAAAACCCAGGTTCGACTCCCCAGACGGGTACAGTGTGTGAAGCCCATTTCTGGTACCCCCGTCGTGATATTGCTGAAATATTGCTAAAAATAAAAACTAAACTCATTGACGTTTTTTCTAGGCCAACATCTCACGAGGCCTTTCTTTTTTCCATTCGGAAGTGGACTGCCAATTCCAGTTTACTCAATCACAGAACTCTTCAAATATTTGCGTTATCTGCTTTCAATTAATTAAGGGATAAGGCTTAAAAAGTAAAACGAATTGCTCCTCTGGCAATGGCTATAAAATAAGGTGTTGGTGGGCGGCCACAAATTTTACCCCTACCTTGGAAAGGCCGCCCTACATGAATGACTCCTTGGTGAGCACAATACCGGTGATTGTCCAGTGAATCGAACTTAGTAAACATCAAGACGCCCTCACTGTCTTCATGGGGTGGTGGAGTAGCCTAGTGGTTAAAACGATCGCTCGTTACGCTGAAGACCCAGTTCGATGCCCCACTCAGGTGCAATGTGTGAAGCCCATTTTGGTGTCCCCTGCCGTGATATTGCTGGAATATTGCTATAAAGGTATTGTGTATTCTATCATTTATGTAAAATCTTCAAATCTGGTTTTCAGGTTTTTCGGTGTCTGTGGAGGAGGAAGGGGTCGATCTGTCAAAAATATGTACAAAAATAAACTCAATGACTCTTAATTGTGTGTTTTTTTTTAAAATTATATTTAAACATTTCCTGCCAAAGGTAGACGCTGTTGCGTACTCTGATCCGTTGGTCGCGGATTCTAGTTAAGATTTTCCTTGATGCTCGTCAGACCCAGGTTCGATTCCCCACATGGGTACGGCGTGTGAACTCCATTTGTGGTGTCTCCCGCCCGGATATTGCTGGAAGGTTGCTAAAAGTGGCGTAAAACAATGCTGCTTGTGAGCAGTGTCCAGCAATAGTCAATACACAGACACTAGACAATAGTCAATACATACATAATAGTCAGTACACAGACACTAGACAATAGTCGGTACACAGACACTAGACAACAGTCGGTACACAGACACTAGCCAAAAGTCGGTACACAGACACTAGACAATAGTCAGTACACTAGACAATAGTCAGTACACAGACACTAGTCAATAGTCGGTACATAGACAATAGTCGGTACACAGACACTAGACAATAGTCGGTAAACAGACATAGACAATAGTCAGTACACAGATACTAGACAAAAGTCAGTACACAGACACTAGACAATAGTCGGTACACAGATACTAGACCACAGTCGGTATACAGACACTAGACAATAGTCGGTACACAGACACTAGACAATAGTCGGTACACAGACACTAGACAATAGTCGGTACACAGACACTAGACAATAGTCGGTACACAGACACTAGACAATAGTCGGTACACAGACACTAGACAATAGTCAGTACAGACACTAGACAATAGTCAGTACACAGACACTAGACAATAGTCAGTACACAGACACTAGACAATAGTCGGTACACAGACACTAGACAATAGTCGGTACACAGACACTACACAATAGTCAGTACACAGACACTAGACAATAGTCAGTACACAGACACTAGACAATAGTCAGTACACAGACACTAGACAATAGTCGGTACACAGACACTAGACAATAGTCGGTACACAGACACTAGACAATAGTCGGTACACAGACACTAGACAATAGTCGGTACACAGACACTAGACAATAGTCAGTACAGAGACACTAGACAATAGTCGGTACACAGACACTAGACAATAGTCGGTACACAGACACTAGACAATAGTCGGTACACTGACACTAGACAACAGTCAGTACACAGACACTAGACAATAGTCGGTACACACACACTAGACAATAGTCAGTACACAGACACTAGACAATAGTCAGTACACAGACACTAGACAATAGTCGGTACACAGACACTAGACAATAGTCAGTACACAGGCACTAGACAATAGTCAGTACACAGACACTAGACAATAGTCGGTACACAGACACTGGATGTTTACCATTTCGTTTTTGAAATACGAACAAGGTACAAAACATGAATAAGACCTGGCATATGAACCTGCTCTCTTAAACGTGTATCGAATTAAAATCTGCATGTTATTAAGTTGAATTCGTCGACAAGAACGTATATGTCAAATGCTTGTCTATGAATCAAGTTTAATCACATGCATTTGTAATCATAAGATAACATAAGATAACATAAGATTAACTTTATTATCCCGGAGGAAATTCTTTTTGCATCAAAACGGTCTCAAAATGATTATATACACAATTTGAAATATATACACAATAATCACATGCACAAAATGAATGCTGGTTACACACATATACACAATAAAACTGACATGATTCAATACAATTATCCGCACAGGTAAAGAGGCTGAATAATTCTACTAGTTATCACATGATGACTCAAAACATTTGTCGCATTCACGAATACTGGATGGTATGAAAGACTGTCGAGTACTGTTTGATTTGAGTGAAGGTAATCGACAGCAGCGTCCAGAAGGAAGTAGTTCAAATTGGTGAGATGAAATCAATTCTAATTCTAGTTGCCTTTTTGACAGTCTGGTGCTTATAGATAAAAGGAACATACTCACAAGACAGTCCTGCAAGTTTGCTGGCAGTATTACCAATTTTGAACAGTTTCTTTTTGTTGCGAGAAGACGGACCCCCATACCAACATAGAAAACTGTAGTTGAATAAAGGTTTGATAAAAAAACTGTCATTATGATTTTGTCAATAGAAAAGTTATCTCGCAATGGGAATTTGGATTTTGTGCTGTGTTCTTTCTCGTGAAGATCCGGGTTAGAATTGGTCTTAAGTACCCCATGCTTGTCGAAAGAGGCGACTAACAGGATCGGGTGGTCAGACTCGCTGACCTGCTAGACACAGACAGACAGACAGAAGTTTTACTTAAGTCTCACCTCGATACTTATCAACATTGATTATATCAATTAATAAAATATACAAGTAAAATATATCGAGCCACCCGCCATGGGGCTATGAGATACTACATTGCAGATAAAAAAAACTTTTGCAATTACGTTTTAAAATATATGGTTAAAAATTAAAACATTAAAACTTATTTACAGTATGTAAAAAATCATTTCACCGTATCCCAATTGCGTAGATCGATGCTCATTCTGTTGATGACTGTATTGTCTGGCCCAGACTCGATTGTTTACATACGGCCGCCTACGGTATTGCTAAGTACGTCGTTAAACAACACAACCAATCGATGGTCTGACTGACGAACGGGCAACGATCAATTAGTACGTATGAACCTGTATTGGTACAGAAAAACATTCACGTTTAAACCAAACAATCAACAAAACTGTAACCAGTATCAATTGTTTCAATCTGGACTCGAAACGTATCTTTTATAACGCTACAACTCCATATATGTTTATGTTACAGACAACATTGTCACCCCTGTTACGACGTAAATTGTAATAAAAACGCAAATTGTAATACTTGCAGCAAATTGTAATAAACTTGACGTAAATAGTAAAAAAACGTAAATTGTAATAAAAATTGACGTAAATTGTAATACGCAAATTGTAATAAAAATTGACGTAAATTGTAATAATTTTCGTTGCGGTAAAATGTAATAAATATTTACGTAAATTGTAATAACAGTTTTAATCACTCGTAAATACGCGGGTGTTTGTTTTTCGTTGCATTTCATACATCAAATAAGCTTGTTAGGGCGATAACTCAAGAAAGAATTGATGGATTTTGTTCAAATTTGGTACCAAGGTATATTGGCGAGATTCACCGACACAGGTGAAATGGAGTGACCTTGAGATAATTTTCAAGGTCACAGCAAAAATCTGAGGGTTTTGCCAATATAAAGATTGTTGGCGCGATAACCCAAGAATGAATTGACAAATATTAGCCAAATGACGAAAACGATATTCGTCCTGATATATAATCGATATAAACTGTCCTCTGTATCATGTCTTTTCGCAAATATCTTTTGAGGTTTTGATATGTATACATATAAAGTGGGGTGGGGTAGGGTGGGTTTCTAACGGGTATATCTAACACACGCATGCATGTAGAGTCGGAGAGGTGGGTGGGTGTTCTAACGGGTATAACTACGAGGGACGTTCAAATAGTAGTCAGCCTCACCTAGAATATGATACAAATGCAGCTGTTTTTATGTTTTCTTTTTCTACATATTATCTGTCAGCCTCAAGCAAATTGGTTTTGCTATGTTGCAGCCTCACGATCCCCATTTTGTGAGACTTTGTATCTTGGCTTGGTACTCCCCAAAAACGTAAAATCTGCAATACAATGCATCACAAACTTCAGGAAACAAAATATGCTATGTTTGAGATTGGTAGAAGTCGGCTAGAATCAAACTTAGATATTAAACTGCACAAAAAAGTCAAATTTCAAAACTACAATCGCTTGTTTAAATGACTCCCCATTCTGTTTACTAAAAGAACTCGAGAAAGAAATGATGGATTTTGTTCAAATTTGGTACCAAGGTTTATTGACTGGAGATTGGAGATTTACCGACACCACTTGAATTTAGTGACCTTGAGGTCATTTTAAAGGTCACAGCGAAGGTGTAACAGTTTTGCACATGCCAAGCTTGGTAGCCGCGAACTCAGGAAAGTATTAATAGATTTTGATCCAATTTTATATCAAGGTGTATTGGCGGGATTCCCCCAACACCAATTGATTGGGAAACTTGTGCTCATTTTAAGTTCAAGTGAAAAGTGTTTTGCACATGTCTAACTTTTTAGTGCGAAAATACAAGACAGAATGCATATGTTTTGCTTAAAGGTAGTACCAAGATACGTTGGGTGTATCGTTTAACGCCAGTCGAATTCAGTGACCTTCGGATTATTTTCAAGGTCACAGCGAGTATTCTTGCGATATCTCCAAACCTAATGGATGGAATTTGTTCGCATTTTGTATCAAGGCATCAGATGACAGTTTCGGTAACGTTTACATAATTTTGAGGGTCAGACAGAGGATGATTGCGACATTCAGATATCTACATGTGGCGGGGGTAATACATGTAGCTATGTTTGTGACAAACGCTTTGTCATTACTAATTTTCAAATTTTTGTTAGAATATGGTTTCTATAATTTCATGTTAATTCTACCAGCTGTGAAATTATTCGCCTGGTTATTCCTTGCCACATATAGCAGTCAATCTGTCTACTCATTTGTTGTATTTGATTGATGCATTTAAAATAAAATGTAGAAATGATACTGAATTGCATCATTTGCTTCAAGGAATCGATCAGATGTGCTCGTTATCAAAGTAAAGTCAAAACTTCTTTCTGTAAGGTATACAGTGGAAGTTGACACCTTAATTGTTATGGGTAGACCAAAGAAATCATTTATTTAGTTTCACCGCTCAAAATACAACAAAGAATTCAACGGGTGGCATTAACCTCAAAGAATGATAATAACAATGCTTATAACATACGAGGGCAAACATATCGGGAATAATTTGTTTTCATGCGATATGCACCGGGTAAAATATCACTTTGTCATGGTGACATGACATCATGAACAATGTTATGACGTCACGTTGCTTCTAAGAAGCCGCCTTCTAAATACAACGATGACGGGGAGCCTGCCTTTGTTGGGAAGTAGATTATCGCGTAATTTCCGCAATTAAAGACTTCGGTAATAAATAGAAAATTATATTCGTGACCATAATATGCTAGGTTAACGACCTAAATATCGGCATATCCCTTCTCTGGTTCCGAAAATACCAAGATTTAGGCAGTTGTGTTGTAAACTGACATTTATCTTCTATAAAGTCGGCTACAGTGTCCATATATTTTAGAAATCTATAACAATAAATCACAACCTCACTACTTTTTTGGATAAATGACAAAGGATTAATCAACCATATTAAAAGGTTTTCAGGCTTGAAGGACGAAGCTAATTAAAATCTAACATCGGCCAACATTATTGTGATATTTTGTAAATTTCCAGGTAAATCATTGATATATACTA